ACGCCAGCACTGATATTTGTGCTATCATGAATCGAATGAAACAGAGAGCGTCTCTCCGCTTCGCGCACACTACTTCCGCTCCTTCTTGTGTGATTAGATCCATCATACTCGTCATTACGAATACGTTTTCTGCCTTCAATTTTTTTCTTTCTTCTGAATCAGTTTACCCCGTGTCAGTCCAGCCATGCACCAAGCGAAACTCAGTTGTAACTCTGTTCTCACATAGGGTATCGCTATCAGAGCGTGTATCTTCGGAGTGCTTCTCATTTCTTCTTCGAAGTACCGAAACACTACTGCTCTCCATGGTAGGCTCACCAACTGCTCTATCGTTTCCGCGTGAATCTCAGAAGATACCAGAGTTCCGTATGCCTTCTGCTTCAGGGTTGTACCTTGCATCATCGTCTCTAAATAACCTTCCATAGCACTTTTGTTTTTCAGAGCAATTAAATGTCCTCTAGCCGAGTTTCTGTACTCCATCATCTCCATGTATCCACCAGCGGGTGGATTGGTTTTATAACTGGCTGATTTTAATCCTGCCATGACAATGGGTGGCACCATCGCTACGACAGTCAACATTCTGTCAGTGCCAGGCAACCGGTCATCACCCTGTCCCATGTCCATGGCTTCTTTGACGCGCTTTCTTTTGGCTGAGTTGACAGCTTTCAACGAGATTTCAGAATCCACTTTTGTTTTTCCAGCTTTCCTCAATGTCACTTTGCTGCCAAATTTCATTTTTATATCATTAATCTTGTCACTCACCATCTTTGATCGCATCGTTCCCTTTCGGGTTCTCGACAGATACACTACTTATTCCTTGCCTTCTTGCGGCGTCGTCTTTATAGGAGAATTTGCCTCACTATCGTCAGTCGAGAAGTCGATCAATAATTTGCTCAATCTTCCTTCAGACTCGTCGAGTTTGTCAAGGACTTCCCGCATTAGTGGTCTGTTGAGACCTATTTTTAGTATAGACTGAGTCCCGTAGCTCTGAACTTTTGTCCAAACCTCTTCCATGAAGGCAACTCTGTCCATACCGCATCCCGTCATATTCTCGTGGTCTCTATGATGAGCTTCCCACTCTTCTTCTGGCAGCTTTCTTAAGAAAGGTACTCTGGCAGTGCCTTCTATTCTTCTTATCCTCGGTGATTCCATTAAGAGTTTTTTCGGCATTTTAAGAATTGTTCAGAGAGCTGCTCACCGGCAAATTCCGGTTCATTTCCATGAAGGCCGACGGAGATTCCAGCGTGGAGGTTCTCTCGTCTGGTGGCTCAGTCGTTGATTCTAACGTGTCTGTGCCGTTTTCAAAGTCGCTGAGGAAGTTGAAGTCCAGGCTGGACATCCCGCCTGTCGAAGCCTTGTCGTCCTCTTTCTCAGCCTGATCGGGATCCTGCTGCATAGGCTCTTCCGATCGACGGCTTCCTCCCTGTCCATCGTCTTGATTTGGATTCTTTCCTGAACTCGAGGACCCTTGCTTTCCATCTGTTCCTCCATCTAGAAATTTCGGTACAACTAGTCTGCCAGCTGATCGATCTTCTTCCTCTCCGTGCATTAACTTGACTTCATCACAGCAGAAGGGTGCTAGCATAGTTCTAGTTTGTAGAGTCCCGCCCACCATTAACTCTGGTTTTACACGCGTCAAGATTAGTCAGGCTTCTTGCAAGTCCGCCCTGCCTCTCATGACCATTGGCGCCAGATCCAGTTTCGCCCATTCCTCGTCAAATCGTCAGGCTTCGGAGTTGCTGCATTATTCATCCGTCTCCTCGTTGTTTCATCGGTGTAAGCAAGTTGCGTATACTGCAGCACGGCGGCGTTTCTGCATACGAAGCACGGGTCCATCATCTCGGAGAATTTCGCTACCCTCCTTTCGTTAGTTTGGAATGCTCGTATCCTAGGGGTTTGTACTACGGAGTCTGCTCCTAGCAACATCCTTCTAATCAAGGGAAATCCAGGGATCTCTTTTGGCAGTTTCTTGTAGTCACCCCATCCTTTCGTTTATTCTCTCAAATTGTGATAAGCTGCAGTCAGTCGAGGAGTTCTTGTAATTTCGCCGTTCGTCTTATTGTTGGGCCTTAGATTCCAGAGCTTCGAGAATACCTGGATGCGCCCTCTATCGACTTCTCCCATCCTGTCGTGGAAAGGATCATCAAAATTTATGACGGTCATCTCCGGCTCTGATATCTTTGCGAAAAACAAGTCCTCACTCATTATCTCTCGTAGGGCGTGCTGTTCACACCAGTAAAATGCGCTTCCGTCCACTGCTGATATGAGGTTCAGGTGCAACACCGACCTCCTTGTATGCCTCCACAATAACGTCAAGGGACGCAAAAATGACCGCCGGACCGTATATCACTGTCACGAACTCCGTGGCTCCTCGGATCAGTGCTAAGGGATCGGTCCTCATGGCCAAGCTCAGGTCAGTTAACAGGGGCATGCCCCCAGGATGACGTCGCACGTCTTCTTCCTTCTGAATTGTCTCATCCTTTCCTGTTCCAAAGCGAATCTGCTGCAGGAGGTATTGGATAAGAGTATGCCGCAGATCTCTTCTCCTGGTCCAGGGATCAGTGGCTCGCTTCACGTCAAACCTCCTCAAGTTCTCTGTCATCTGTTCCGGGTAGCGGGTCAGATTCATCAACCCTCCCAAGTGCCCGTGCGCTATCGCAATTAGCGCCAGAAGTCCATCTAGCCGCAAATTCTGCACTCCTTTGGTGAGCAGTATCACTTGTCCTCTCACAAAGTTATCTGCTCCAAACGGCACTAACAGGGCTAGTAGTTCCACGATCAATACTTCTACGACTGCTTGGAGGAACTCTTTAATCTGGTATTGAGAAAGCGATGGGTAAACTTTTGCAAGGAAGGACGCGGTCCATCCGGATCCCAACCCTTTCAGCATGCTGTCAGTCCGGTCAAAACCTTCTTCTCCCTTTACTTTCTGTGTCCAGAAAGCTTCCAGGGTAACTTGGCACACTCTGTTTCCAAACTCGGCTGACTTCTCTTCAGCATTTTTGGGCAGACTTACCTCTTTCACCAGGTAGGTATGGATCTTCTTGATCATCACTGGGCCTCGCTCGAAAGCGTCCGTGCCCAATGCGACTATTCGGGGGTCAAGTGCAGCCACTTGTTAGCCTCTGGTTTCGTTCTCAAGACCATCGTTTCCAAGTGAGCTCTCGTCTATTGGAATTCTTCCTTTTTTCTCCTTCCTCTTTTATTTCCATTCCTCGGAACCATAAGTCGTTAGACATCACTACTATTACTCGATGGTCATCGTCAATTCCTGGTCTCAGTTTGAGTTGTCGGCTGAAGTTGGACAGTTCCAACCCCAGTACTTCATATAATACTAACATGTGTAGTGAATGGTCCTTAAATCCTCGCATCGCATTCGAGATGTCAGACCACACTGAAGGGTAATTCCGCCCTAAGTGGTCTTAGATTCGCCACCATCGCATCTACAAACTTCAGTCCATCCAGGAGATGTGCATATCCCGGAGACAGTGCAAACACAGCTCTCGGTGTTATCTTGGGGAATGCACCTCCTTTCAGCGTTTCTATTACTTCACCCATCGATTCGAGGATATCCTTTATCGCTGGCCATACTGCGTCTTCTGCCGTTGTAGGCTTTATGAGTCTGCTCAGGAAACCCCTACTGTGTAGATGGTCATTTATGTCGGCAAAAACATTTGAGACCGGGTTCATTTCCGTCTGCCGTTGTACCCCGATTGCCATTGACACCGACTGCATTAGGTCCAGGTCGACTGCTGCCAAAATTATAAGGTCAGGCCAAAACAGAGACTTGGAGTCATGCACGAAGTCTTTGTTCGCAACTATCATAATCTTTGCTTTTCTCAATTCTTGTGTCAGTCGGTCACATTTGGAAGTTTGACCTTGAGGAATACGGACAACGTAATTTTGGGGTGAAATTTAATTTTTCAAAAATTCGAATTGAGCCTGCCATGTTTAACTTTCTCGCGAAAACTGAAAATCTCAGAAATACAAGATCAGAACGACCGAATTACAAACGCGGGAAAGTGGTCAAATTTAGCAGCGGGAAATTGCTATTCGCAAATTCCGATACTTAATTTAAGGAGAGTAGAGCTGTCTTATTCGTGACAGGAGACAGAAAGTAATCGCGAGCTAAAGGACATCGATATTCAGTTGGACCAGAGTGATCTTTCAGTCGAAAGGTAGACAATCGAAGTCTCCCAATGGTCCAGACCAAAAACTCAATTCTCAAGCTTCAGCTTGTTCGATTAGAACTTATTGAATCAAACTTAATTCCCTATTTATTCTCAAGTTGCTTATTAATTTAGTTACCTCAAATTCTCGAGTGTGCCGATATGAGAGTACTCAATTTAGTTTTCTTGGGTATGTTTTATGATTGTTATGTTGAGGTAAGGAGAGTTTTAGTTTGATCCATAAAAAGTAACTGTACGGACTATTACGACCCTGTTTTTAACGCCTTCGTGTGTTTTGGGTATTTTGAGACCTAAGTACTGGGACGTTCTCTGACTCTTGAGCCAATGGTTATAGGGCCTATTTTTTTAAAACCTCATATGTGAATTAAGTAGCCGACTGTTACATAGTGTTTTTATGGCGCTCTTGGGTGTTTTTACGACATCATGACTACGGAGTCGAGCCCACTTGAAACAGCTCCGGGCTACATACCCATTCTAGAGTACCGGTGGTACGGTTCAGCGGGAGCGTGCAAACGTTCCGGTGGAACCGTGATAGCTTTTTAAGAAAACTCAAGAAAACTACCTGGTAAACGCTCTCCGAACGAGGCCTAGCTAACCTATTAAGGGGGGGGGGGGTTAATTAGGGGGACTAAAAACGAGCAAAAAGTCAAAAAGCGAAACAAAAACCGAAAAAGAATAGAAAAAGGAACGAAAACGATAAAACAAAAAATGACAGTGACTTTGACACCAGATTAGGTGGATCAAGCCTTTATATTAATGAAATAGTATACCCATACTGTTTTATTAAGACCGATCGTTTCAATCAATTCAGCAATTTAATAAGGTGCCCGAGTGTGGGGCGTTGTTAAGAGTTTTCAGAACGCTTGCAACTTAGCTGGACCACTAGGAGACTTAACTGGAAGAGGTGACCAGTCGAGTAGGAAAGTGGTTCACAGGGACTTAGCTGGACCATTAGGAGACTTGACTGGAGCGGTTGACCAGCCAAGTGGGAAATTGCTGCTGGTGATCAGGTGCAGGACACATCAAGGAGACAATCAGCGCGGAATTAGAACAACCAGAGGAGGACAGACAGAGGTATTCTGGTTGCTCAATCGGGTATCGTTAGAATCCACATTACATTATAGGAGATAAGTGTAAAATTGGATAAGCGGAATCCCATTGTTTTGAGGAACGTTTTTACTTGAGCAGAGCTTGGAAACAGGCTCTACGGTTTTCTCTTGAGAGGTTTAGCACCCAGAGCTTAAGGGAGGGCTAAACAGGGGGGAGGTTAGAAGGGGGGTTGGTTAGGTTAGAGGTTGGCGGTTGCAAATTGTAAAAAGGAGGGACACATTAGAGTAACTAATTGATCGACATCGCCGTTGTAGTTACATCAGAATCTTTCACGCGTTGATTATAAGAAGCAGATATCCAAGTTTAAGATCGAATTGAGGTAGGTATCCTGGTCGGATAGGGTGGGGGAACGGAAGTAGACAGTTTTTGTGATACCCCATAAGATTGCTAGCAGGGGTGAGGAAGACGCGTGGCAATCAGGTACCAGACGTTTTTTCTAATAAAAGGTTGACACAAGTCACCTTTGAAGATTTAGGTGGGTTTATCTTTCTGTTTTTAGCATTGGTTGAAAATGGTGTGTAATGTGTCGCTAACATCGTTCGAAGCTCATCATTCTTCACACCATTGATGAATTTTGAGGCTACTGCCAGGTTCATACTTTTGTTCGACTCATCTGGTTGGCTACGCCATCGAAGCATCTCCATATCGTCTAGAAACTTGTGTATCGTCTCGTCTTCACGTTGCCTCCATTTCTCGATGCGCATCATCGCTTGGTGTCCTTGCACCCCTGAGCCAAAACGATTTAACAAGATTTCAAAGATTTTCTCAGCAGTGTCCCGCTGGTACTGCTTTTTGGCCATCACGCAGTTTAGGGCTGTCCCTTCCAGGTTACTGGTAAGCGCACTGCATTCTTCTATTTCTGTCAGGTCCTCTTCTTCAAAATGCAGTTTAATGACCTCTATCCAGGTATCAATACAGCCATCAGATTCGTCTTCATAGCACCCTGGCTTTTAAAAAGCCTTTCTTGTTCACAGGTTCAAAGGTTGTGGTCATTGATGTCGCGTCCCTTGAATGCCCCGCTTGAGCATCATTGCCCACTGAGAGAGGCTCTGGGTTTTCCCTCCTGTTCGATTCGCTGGGATGACTTCTTACTTGATTCGCATGACTCCAGTTCATGGAATCACATCTCCCAGTCGCATGTGCGTCTTGCGTCGGTCGTTCGTTTGAGGTCGGTCTGTTGCCAGTTGAACTTTCTCTGGTGTTTGGGCCTCGTGGCCTATTGTCCCCTGTGGCATAGCTGGATGAACTGCCCCTTCCTCTAGTGGATCCATATGTCCTTCTTCTATTTGGTTGTTCATTGAAGTTCACTCTCGGCTCCCTGTTGGGTTCTCCTGAGTTTTTTCCCCAGTCTTTGGTCCACCCCTGCTTCCTAGTAGCCGATCCAACCTATCCATGATAGCCTGAGTTCGCCTCTCCATCATCGATTCTATATTCTTGTCAAGAATTCCATGAGTCTGCTCTTGTTCAATTCTCAACTTCTCAATTTCATCTCTCAACCGTAACTCTCTCTGATCAGCTACGCTCGTCATTCGCGACAAGTTCTTGGCCAAGTGTTCATCTGTTCTCTCCTTCAAGCGTTTTTCGCTTCTGCTAAGTTCTTGTCTGTTGCGGTTGATCTCTTCCAGCAGGTTTCTCTCTCGACGTGGACAGCCCTTTCTAGTTCACTCATTCTTAAAGACATGTGTTCATTCTGTTCTCCTATGCTGTCCACTATGTTAGTCAAGGCTTCTTCGATTGATGCTCCGTTGTCCAACACTGGCGTCACAAGTGGTGGTGTCACCCTATCGGTTCCAGGTAGCTTGGTGCTGGTCGAGACTCTGGTCTTGATTCTCTGCCTCGACGTCTCCTCATGTTCCACTTCTGGATCTGCAGAAGGGTTACATAGTCCTGTGTTTCTGTTCTTCCCAGTTCGCATCTCCAAATTCTTCATGGTCACAAAGTCTCCTGAGTGGCCTGATCCATTTGTGGTCTTGCCTATTGTCCTGACCACACCAATTCGGTCCATAGAGCCAGTCTCTCTATTGGTGTATGCATCATTCTCCTGAGTCGAACTATTGAGGCTGACTTGAGATCCGAAGTCATCTTGCTCGTCATCGTCCTCCTCCTCCTCCTCCTGGGTTTCTGCTTCATCGCCTGTACCCGTTCCCATGGTAAATGGAAAGAAGTTTTCCAAAGTGTTCTTCACTCTTTTCATCGTGTTGTCTGTGGGTGATCGTGTAGTCGCCACGTTTTCAGTAGAGATGTCGGACAGTTCCGACATCTCTTCTCGGTCTAAAGTCCCGGTGGAAGTGGCAAAATCTTGGCCTTGTTCCACCGGAGTAGATTCACTCGCCAATCTTCTGTTTCCACTCCCTTCCGGTCCATGTCCCTCCCGGTTCTCATCCATGGCCGGGTCAGGATGGACCTCTACTTCTAGCATTGCGTTTTGTCCTTCTGAGGACTTTTAACTCCTGGTTTCAACCACTCCGCCTGAAACTTTCTTCCCTTTGTTGGGCCGGGTCCTTGTGATCCTTTCCAGAAAAGGGTCGTTCATTGCTTTTCTTTGTTTCTCAGGTATGAATTGCCTAGAGCTAGCATTTAGTTTGGGTATCCTTGACTTGTCTAGACTTATTTTCGATTTATCACTTCTTACTGCTTATACATTCAATTCGATTTCTACTCTCCTTATTGTTTGACTACTGATAATAATATCACAACACAATAAATTCCTAAAGTTTCACTTCAATAGTGACCACGAATCCTTGTTTGTTATCACAGTACAGCGTATATACATTTTATTCACAACAATCGATTATTGGTTGTAATTATATGAAGATAGCACAGTCAGATGATATCAGTATTTATGAAAGATAGTGTACTCACTACCCAATCAAGAACAGATATTTTTGATTTAAAACCAAAAATGAAGCGAAAAAAATATATAAATATTAATATATATTCTCAATGAAAAACGTGTGTTTTGTACTTAAGTTAGTCGAATACGAGTGTCGAACTTGTCTATAAAGAAAGAACTTTCCCCGTTTGGTGCAGCGTCAAACTGACAAAACTTGAAGGCAGTAATTTTCTCAAGTGGAAATCTATTGTACCCACCAAATCTTGTGTTACCTATCTGCCTTCGGATTTCCCGAGCTCGGTCTACTAAAATCCTCAAGGCAATCACCTTTCCAAAAATTGATTTGGTTTTTAATCCACACAAATCAGTGACAAACATTTATTCAATTTAGAATTAGTGTCGCGAATATCCCGGTTCAGACCTTTTTTGTCTTACTCCGGTTTCTTTAAAAGGCAAGATACCAGTGCAGTCACAAGTTTCAAGCCTGACACCTTAAAACCTAATGTTCTCTACTGTTTACTTTTCTTTTGTCTACCAAAATTTTGATTAAAAAGGACCCCTCCGGATTAGTGAAAAAGAGGACCCTTCCGAATTGGCTAAATTTGGACCCCTCCGGATTGGCAAAATAGGACCCCTCCGGATTGGCAAAAACAGGACCCCTCCGGGTTGGCAAAAAAAGGACCCTTCCGGATTGGCAAAAACAGGACCCTTCGGATTGGCAAACTTGGGACATTTCCAAATTGACAAACATAGGACCCTTCCGGATTGGGACTTCTCCGGGTTTGTAAAAATAGTTTTTCCGGGACTTTTAAAAATTTCACCCTATACCCTTCAGGATACGTTCTCCGATGCTATTATGCTGTAAGAACTAAATAGGAAGGCTGTATTTTCCGTCCCTAGACCCTTTCGGATCGAAGCTAAGCCTCTTATTTTGCTATTCTACTCAACTGTGAAGGGTCTTGTAACTAGCCTAGTTTCGACTCGACTATGGTTTCTGGGTTCTTCGGGAAACAAATTTGATCTTTTTTACCTACAAATTATTGATCCGAGCTCAAAAGGCCTATACTCTTCTAGTTCAGTGCAAAAGACCCAATCTAAAACGTTCCAGTTAAAAAAAATTTGCCAAAAACAATGCTATTTGGACCCTTCCGGATTGATAAATCCACTAAATCAAACATGTTAAGTCCGATTTCACTGTAACCCGGAAGGTTATCGGCAAATGGGTTTTAAAACCTGTCGATTCACTAGCGAACGTTGCTCGAACAACACGTTTTACTGTCCTAACCCAAAAATTACAAAATTTTTTTTTAATTTGTAGCGTTTTGTTTTTTCAAAAATCAAAAAATTCGGTTTTTGCTATCCAATTAGTTCCAACCACTTCTGAACTAAACTCAATCGGTTCTACCTATTATACTAGTACAGTTACATTGTAACTCACTAATTTTGCGTTTTTTTTTCCGTTTCCAAAAATATCGATATCTCAAAAATCGCCATTTGTGGGGGGATCAAAATATTGCTATTTTGACCCTAAAATACTGTCTGCTGACTGTGTTTTTCACTGAAAAACGGTATAGGAGTATTAATATAGCCTGTATAAACAGTAATACTAGTAATATTATACCCCTCTGGGTTTGTTCAATAGCCGAATTAAGGTGCTTAACACGGAAATTCATAATTCGGCGAGGGGTCAAAACAGCGCAGTCACTGTCGAGCCCCCCCGCAGATTGATATCTTACTTTTTTGTACCAAAAGGGATACAAAACTCGCTAACGATACCCAACAGTCGATATTTGTTGTCCTTGAGCACCTTTTTGTCGCTCCTTGCACTGCTTGCTGGATCAGTCTTCTTTTCTAATCCCGATACCCTTCCGGATTG